CAACTGGGGACTTGATTAGCTTTTACAGTTCTTGTAAAGAAGACACTTCTTTGTTAAGTAGCAAATATAGGTGTAATTAAGCCAATTCTGAAGTTAAATTGGAATTAATAGCTCTTCTGGTTTCTGTCCGTGTGTGCAGACGTGAGAGGCCATGAGAGGGCCTCTCCTCCTGAGTGCTGTAGCCACCTGGAGGCAGTGTTCGCACAGGCCTGTGCTTGTAGAGCACAATTTCCTGAGATTTCATCACACAGAAAAAATCTGAGAAAAAATTATATACTGTGTTACGTGTATTTTGGACAATTCATGCTTATGGAAATAGATGCATGAAATATGTTATGTTGGCAAGAAATATTATTATAAGGTTTTGTTATATGTAATAAAGGTAATTCGCACTGGTATAATATGATGTATGTAATATTTTATATTATTGGGAGGATGCACAAGTTGGCACTGGGAGTTGCCCCACATATTTGGAAACCAGTCCCTGATAAAACCTCATTTACAAGCTAATACATGTGGAGATGGGTAGTTTCTCGAGGTGATACAGGAATGCAGGGGCGTTGATCATCCCGCCAACAACTCAGAGATTGGAGATTGGGATCGCTGGAACCCTCCATTCAGATACATCTGAGTGCTGTGTTCCAGTAACTACATCAGGGAGATTCATCACCACCCGGACACTAAATTGTTCCAACCCAACTCAGAGAAAAGAGACGTTATTAATATATAGGACTTTGAATGGAAAGAAAAGGCTGATTGCCGAAATCCCAGCCTCGGGCGAAATATTCCGTATAAAAACTGCTTGTACCGGGAGGGTGGTGTGTGGGCATAGGGGGAACCTCTGCTGGAGCGGTCAAACCTGTGACCCACCCAGTGCTGATTCCAGGCTTGGCACCGTCCTTTTCTTTGTGGCTGGCTCAGACAGAATTCAATCGCTGTAATGCAAATTTTATTTTTATTTTTTTAATTTGGCTGGTCAATTTTCATTTTTAACAGTTTCTTAAGTACACAAACCAGAGCTGGGGAGATTGCTTCAAGGACCTAATTTGCAAGTGAATGAATGTGGCTCGCTCAGATATGGGTCCTTTTCCAAGGTGATCCGAGGAACACTCAAGCGATGAATACTCGATAAATATCTAAGATTGAGATAAACAGCGCCATCAGGAAGACACATCTCAATGCTGAGTTGCAGTAACTCAATGATTGGCATGCATTGCTTCCTGGACATGGTTTTCGATGCAGAGAAAAGAAGCTGCATTAGTATGTGAACTCTGAAAAGAAGAAATGAAACCCTACCTCAGGCAGAATAGACAGTATAAGAACTGCTCAGACAGAACAGTCTTTGTGAACAGAGGAGATCCGATGCTGTAGAGGTCGGACCTGTGTTCACCCAGCACTGATCCCGGGCTCAGCGCTGTCCTTTTGGTTGTGGCTGTCTTAGACCAAATCTCAGTCACCAAATAAAAATCTGTTTTATTAATTATTCATTGGGCTTGATCATTTTTACCAATAACATACTGGAAAGCATGATTTTTTAAAAAAAGCCTTTGCCTTCATAGGATACACCTTTGATTTTCCATGGGTCTGTAATACTGTGATGCTCCTGTGAAGTACTTTTCAATAAAAACCTTTGTAGGAAGAGCCAGCAGAATATTCCAGCATAACAGCTGACATAATTGAAAAGAACATGCAAAATTTCTTGCATGGAGCAGAAAAATAGTGCTGCTTGACCTAAAGTATGACCAAAAGTATTCTTGTTTTTTTCTCTTGGGTAGAACTGACCTATTTCTTGTTTGTTTGATTAATTGATTGATTGATGGATTGATTATAAATAAAAGCGGATTTCTTCCCGTGTTACAGTTGCCACTTGATCTCTTTCTCTTTGCACAGAAACAATACCATGCAAATGTTTGCAAACGACTGCTACAAAACATTCTTGAACCACCCAGCTGAAAACATTCTTGAACCACAAGCTAGTAATGTTTGTAAAGCTTAGTTTGATTGATGTATGTTTGCTGTTGCTTTGTCAATTGTGAGGTAGGTCATACTTCTCCCCATTCCAAACATACATTTCTCAATCTGCTTTGAAATTCATACTCTCCACTCTGATTGCATCAAGTCCTACTACTCAAATTTGTTATTCTTTCAGATACACAACTTTACTAGACACAGAAGATTTGAGGTGTAGTTGACCAAAATATATGGAAATACCATCTTCCGTTTCCTAATGTATGGATGTAACTGATCGCTGTCTGTCTCAGGAGTTGTACATGAAGAAGTACACACTACTGGCAAGATTCAGTATCATGATTTCATAAAATTTATGTAAAATACCATCTACCTGAATAAAGTGGAATGTAAGAAAAAGGTAACAAAGATCTTTGTAACAAAGCAAGCTGGTGAAATAATGTATTTTATCATAATATTCTGCCCATCCAGTTTCACTGGTGTCTATTCTTAATTAAATGCAGGATTAAGGTAGATTAGTTTATGTTCAATATTTTATTAAGTCAATGGAGCAGAACAAGACAGATATATGAATGCACTTCTTTCAATGTTTAGATTTAAAAAATGTCACTGAATCTGCCATTGCTTTTTTGAATAGAGTTGAAAGATAAGGTGGAGCCATAAACGGCTTTAGAAAGAAATTTGTGGTACCTGAAGATATCAGATTTAGTAGGAGTCTTAGAAAACTTTCTTTTCAAAAGAGCAGGGGGGAAAAAATCTGTGTTTTCTGAAAAAAAAACCAAACAACTGAGTTTTGTTACTAACTCCTAATTTTCCTTCTTTACAACACCCTCCTTGCATTTTTGTGGTTTACAGATAAATCAGATCAACCCCTGACCCTTACACAGTAGGGTTTTAGGCCTTTTTTTTGCATGAAATTCTTGGAAACTTCAGAGCTTACTTAATATTTATCCATCTCCTAATGTGTAGTGCAGATAGCTAGAAGTTTCTGAAGTTTATGGTTTATTCAGCTCCCTCTTGTCCTGACTATCAGTGTCATGAACAAGATTTATTGTTTAGATTTTAGAAAAATCAAAGACTTTAGCTTTTCACTTCTGGATCTGAACTTCTGAGTTTCAGATCACTTCACTCCTGCTTCAGACAAAAAAACATAGGAAATAGCAAGCTCTGGATAAAGATCTGATGGAGGTGATTTCTGTGTATATGATGAATCACAGACTCAGAGGGAAGAATGAATGAACAGGGTATGTTTGATTGAGAGAGAAACAAGGAATGTATGTAAATCTTCAAACATATAATAGACTTTAGGAAGAAATTCCTCATGTCTTCATGTCTCTAATGAGCTGTAAAGAAATAATGGAGTAAAACAATAAAAAGTAATAAAGAAAGAATAAATTCCATGAAGGAATATTCAAATTAGGAAAAATTTGTTAAGAGTGAAGTAACCAAACATGATCCTTGTGGGTCCCTTCCAACTCTAAATGTTTCTGTGATTATCAACATTGAACTAACCTGGCATTGTCATGGAAACTACATAATTAAATTTATTTCCAAACAGGATAAGCAAACACCTTGTCCTAAAAATAAATGATCCTTAGGGTACTAAATACAGGAGCTAGCCCTCTAAAGCCCCTTTCACTTTCTTAAGTTTTCAAACACGCTTTCCAGGGAAATAAATTTCCTAGGACTGTTCTATTGTCTTTTCTTATTTCCTTAACAAGTCAGGTAACTAACCATAAGAAACATATGGAAATCTAACAGTTTCCTTATGCCTACGTTGTTACACAGAAAGAAATGGGAAAGAAAGCTTGGTAGTTTGGTTACCTTTGCTGGTTGGTGGTTTTTTGGGTTTGGTTTTTTTTTTTTTTGAGAAGAAGGTTGCTGGATTTTTTTGGTGGAGGTTGGGTTTTCTTAATAGATTGGGTTTTTTAGTGATCAATAAAGCACCCTGAAGTTGTTTCCATCCCACTGGAAATTCCTTTATAAGCCCAGGCTGTGATATGAATAAAACAGGGAATGTTTGTTTCACCCTGCTCTTGGGCCAGCTCTCACTTTCCATGGTCTTAAAATAGCCTTTAAGTATTTCTCATCATAATGTGTTAAAATTCATCCTTTTCAAATTGGATACCAAAACTTCAAAATCATATCTTCATAAATACCAGGTTCTTCAGTATTCTGTGTTGTGAAGTAATTCATTTCAATACGAAGTTTTGCGTGTTATGACAATTTCCAAAAAATCAGCCCAGCTACTTGTATAGTTAGTGTATGAAGGTCAAACAGCATTCAATGCAATAACAAGTCCCTAAACACATAATGATTGTTCAAAGCACTTCTGCACTGGCTGTGCCCTTTGTTTTAAGCCACCTAATGCATACGTTCTTAACGCTAAATGCATTTTAATGATGATCAAAGATCTGGTATTCCTGTTTTACAGATTTTGCAATATTCACTCTCTGCAGAGCTAACATTGAGAAGCACTTAGGAAGGAAAGCATACGCTTTATACTTTATAAAGCATATAAAGTATACATACTTACATGGGCACTTTCCAAATAATCTGCTGTAGGGAAAGCTGGGCTCCAGGACGGCTTTGATGAATGGAAACAAGAGATCTCTGAAGGCTGCTCTTAGAATATAAGGTTTATTAGGGGTGGTGAAAGGTCTTGCCTGGAGCTGCCAGATGCAGCATGTGGCAAGGCCTGAGGGAATGGGGGAGGGGAGAGACAAGGGGTAGAGAGGATGCTCTAGGAGAGGGTGGAAGTTCCAAGAGGGTGGAAGTTGCAAGAGAGCGTCTGGCCCCTCAGAGACCCCTTATCAGGGGGCTCCAAGGTGGGCTGGAACAAGACTTAGGCCAATGGGGTCACAGACACCTGATGTTTCAGGGGAGGGTTACAGGTGTGGGATGAACCATACATTTTGGGGGTTGAGATGAAACAGTCCATTTGACTTTTGGACCCATCTGTAGGTAAGGGCATTGTCCAACCAGTAGGGGGGGATTGTTTTCATCCTGGCTGTACTATTGTGAATCTTTTGTCAGGCAATCATATTTATTCATCCTTCCCAACATCTCCACCATTCTGATGAACAACTAAAGATATTAGATATTGACCTAATCACTATTTTCTGCACACTCTGATGTATACAGGGTATTGCTACTAAAACTACAATTACTACTAAATATAAAAACTAAAACAAAAGAAAAAAAGCAACATGCACGCATGCAAACAATGAAACTCCATTCTTTTCTCAGGCTGTTTCTGGCAGGTCATTTTCTCTTGATGACTCTGCGCAGTTCAGGTCTGGGTGCTTGCTTCTTGGCTTGTACTTGCTGAAGTACTGCCTGGTGCAGGCGTGGCAGCGGATTTCAGTGTGTGGTAGGGCTTCACATTCTTTGCTGGGACCCACTTGAGTCCTTCACCTGTAGAAACACAAGCAAACCCGTTCCCCCATGTTATAAGGTTGTATGGCCCTTCTATTTGTCCTGAATCTAGGTTTTTAATCAAAACTGGTGGATGGTCTTTTATTTTTGCTCTTTTGTATTTCAGAAAATGTCTGTAAATGGGGGAGTCAGGCTCTCCTGCAGAGCTATTTAAAAAATTGTAAACATACAGAGCCTTACTCAACCTTCTTTGAGGTGCAGCCTGATCTACTCCCCCTTTCTTTTGATTTAAAATGTGTTTTAGGGTTTGGTGTGTTCTTTCTATGGTATTTTTCAACAGTTGTTTAAAATATGGAGAGGAGATACCACCATCATTTATTGCTTTTCGCAACCTGGGAAGGAATAGCTGTCCATGCTCTAGGACCACCGGGTTGCTGACAGAATACCATAAGCGTGGCTCAAGGATTCAGACTGTCCTCTTTGTGACTATCATGTCTGATTCCATGCTAGTCTATCTGTTGGAGACTATCAACACCTTTCTGGGATTTTTGTAAATTTGGGATAAGAGGGTTAGTATTTGCAAGGGCGAAACCGTTCTCTGTCTGTCCTTATTTGTCAAAGCAGCTGCCGCATTTCATCCTTCTCCCTCTCACTGCATGGTTCATGTGCCAAGCTGTGGTGAGGTACTGCTTGGACCAGGTGCAGGAACTGCTTCTGGCTGAGGCAGAGGAGCAGGAGGAGTGGAATCTGTCAGCAGAGGCACATGGGAAGAACCTGCACGTGCAGTAGGATATCTTGGAGCTCTGGCTGCAGCTGTAGCATGTAGATCTGGCAGAGGAAAGGACGCAGAGGGATATGCATAAAATGCTGTAGAATCATGTTGTGGTGCTGCAGGCAGACTTGTTGGAGGGTGGAGGGCGGCTGGAGGCTGCAGTCATGCAGGAACTGCTGGTGGCTGTAATGCTGGGGTTTCCAGAAGCTGCGAAGGAGGCAGCGTAGGGAGGCCTATTTATGATGAGGCTGTAACAGGATCTGGCTGGGCTGGCTGCGTGGATGGATATGGTGGTAGAGTCAGCAAACACAGAAGTGCTGGCAGTGGCAGCAGCGGCTGGGGCTCCGCAGCTAGGCCTGTGGGCTGTGATGCTGATGTGGGGGGGCGCGGGGACGTCGGCTGGGTGTAGACCGCGGCATGGGGTGCGTGGGAAGCACGAGGCTGCATCAAAGGCGTGCCAGGGGTGGCAAGGGGCAGCTGGTCCGGGGATAGCATGAACTGCGCATGCGCGGGACGTGTCACGAGGTCTGCATGGCAAGGCATCATGGCGGCCGCGTCCACCGCGCGGCTGGAGGGCTCAGGCACGGGGACCGTGGCAGAAACCAGGGCCACGGCCGCGGGAGAGAACTGCGCTAGTCCACAAGCGCAGGAGGCAGCAGGGCCGCAGCATGGAGCCCCGGCGCGTCTCCCCGCGACTGGGGGGGGCTTGGGCTGGGGCGGCGCCATGGGGCCAGGAACGGGGATTTGATTGCTCCGTTCCACCGCGCGAGTGATGCCGCGCCCCAGTCCTCAGGCATGCTGGCATGGTCTGAGACAGGCACGGGCATCTTCCATGCTGCGGCACCAGCAGGAGGCAGTGGCAGTGGGCCACTCGTGGCAGCGAGGGCTGGTTGCACTGCCTGCAGAAGCACGGCCGCTTGGCTCTGCAAGAGGCTGGCGACGGTGGTGTCCACAACCGCGAAAGATGCCGCTGGGGGGGGGGGGCGGATGCGGTTGGAGAGTGGGGGGAAAGGGGAGCTGGTACCGAGCGGCACAGGCGGGGGGAGGGGGCGAGTCCCGTTCCACACTCGCAGCAGTGTGGATGGGGTTCTCAGAAACCACACGGCCCGGAAAAGCGGCCGCCGCGGGCTTCTGTGCAGCAAACAAGTCAGCCAACGTTCTGTAAGCCGGGAGCAATTCACAAGCGTCAGGATCCCATCGTGAAACATCATTAAAAAGTCTATTTCCAATTGAGTCCCAAAAGTCTCTGGTAAAAACAGCTGAACGATCGGCATTCGGGAAATTAAGCAAAATCCATTCTAGAAGGTTTTTTAATTCTTTCTTAGACCGAGTACTGTGATAGCTACGTAAGTGATGGTTAAGTTGCTTATAGAAATCCCAATCGGGGCAGAGTGGGATTGTCCCATTTTACACCAGTGTAGCTCACCTCGATGTTGCAGAAGCAGGGTCCTCTGTTGAGTTCCGACGTACACTCCAGTCAGCGCTCAGGACTTTGCGGGAGGTCCCCTCAGAGCTTCGGTTTCAGGTGTCACTCAGGAACGGCTTTTCGTGCTTGAGGCCTCCAGACTCCCCCTCAGAGCTCCAGCACAGGCAGTGCAAAGCAGTGCTCGTGTGTGCTCTCTGCACGTGGCAGTGTGTCACAGTAAGGCTCCTCACAGAGTTTCAGATCGCCGCTGCTCCGCAGTGGTCGCCTCTGCTCAAGGATCACCAGGCAAAAATCCTCCAAGAGCTCCAAAAACTCCCTACTTGGTAACGAGTCACGGCGCTCGAGGATTGCCTCAGCAATTTTAAAGAGCTCCAGCTTTGACGCTGCCTAGCAACAAAATGCTGTGCTCACAACACTGATGAGGAGAATACAACTGGTTATTTAGTTACCATCCATGGAGAAGTCTTCCACAGATAGAAAAGCTGGAGAGGCATCCAGACAGGTGTGGGTGCAGGTCTGCGTGGGTTCATCTTCCTAGCTGAGCGCCAGTCTGTGGGGAACGCTGGGCTCCAGGACGGCTTTGATGAATGGAGACGAGAGATCTCTGAAGGCTGCTTTTAGAATATAAGGTTTATTAGGGGTGGTGAAAGGTCTTGCTTGGAGCTGCCGGACGCAGCACGTGGCAAGGCCTGAGGGAATGGGGGAGGGGAGAGACAAGGGGTAGAGAGGATGCTCTAGGAGAGGGTGAAAGTTGCAAGAGAGCATCTGGCCCCTCAGAGACCCCTTATCAGGGGGCTCCAAGGTGGGCTGGAACAAGACTTAGGCCAATGGGGTCACAGACACCCGATGTTTCAGGGGAGGGTTACAGGTGTGGGATGAACCATACATTTTGGGGGTTGAGATGAAACAGTCCATTTGACTTTTGGACCCATCTGTAGGTAAGGGCATTGTCCAGCCAGTAGGGGGGGATTGTTTTCATCCTGGCTGTACTATTGTGAATCTTTTGCCAGGCAATTATATCTGCATTTTAAAATATCTACTTTCTTCATCTGTCTGCTTTAGGCTTTCAGACAAAATTTCTAGCTAGTAAGTATTTTAATATGTTTTAAGCCTGAGGAACACAGGCTTAAACCTGTCTGCCAATAACAGTCTGAAAAGGGTGCATGAAGTTTCTCATTTAAGTGTTGCATATGTGTTTCCTGAACTGCAGAATATAGCATGGATAGAAACAAGGAAATAAGCTTATACATAAAAAGTAGACTAACTACATCTTTCAATGCTAACTGTGAGAATGAGATTTTCATAAATGCAGTTGCCTTAATGTAGGGTGGATGAAAGTTCATTCTAAGCAGAAATTGAAGTTATGTGGTACTTCACAAAAATAAATGATGGAAATGTGTCCTTTACAATTTCTAAATATAGTGGTACCCTTCCAATGAAAACCTTATCTTGTTTGAAAACAACTCAGGGTTCAAATTCCATGGGTTTTCTTAACTTAAATGGATTGATCTATTTCCTAACAGAGTTTTCATTTGTTAAAACTAAGATTGTAGAGTGAATCAATCAGCTAAAAAAAAAAAAAGCATATTGTATTACTTTTAAAGTGAGCTTTACTTTCCAGAAATCAGCTGCATCATTTGAAAATTAGTTTTTTACTGGAGATACAATATTCTTTTTGAGGTTTTACAATTTAAGGTGTGAAGATAATACAGTACTATTTCATTATATTATTTTAAATTTATTTGACATTTCTTTAGATTGCAGAATAACTTCTTAATCCCCAGAAGAGTAAATCTTGTGTACATGGTACCTTAAATAAAAAGCTGCCTATCTGCAATTTTTCTCTTCCAAAAGCTCTCTGCATATACGAAATAATTTTCCTTAGGTTTTGATTACAATTATAAGATATATGTTTCAGTTTACTTTTGTTCTCTTGAAACCCAGAAAGTGACCACAAATAATTGGCAGTTTATGTGTTCCTGCACTAGCTCTCATTCTTGAGGTCTGAGGAAGCTCCTCAAATCTTGAGGTTTGAGGAAGCTCCTATACTACCAAACTGAAAACAGACTTGGGAGTTGAAGTCAATTGATGCTCTATAGATGGCTTTTTCTTTTTTCACAGGTGAGTTGAGCCAATTATTACTTTCCAGGCATTTCTGTGTCTACCCAATTAAGGGCACTCAGCTAACAGAAGCTTAATTATTATGAAAATCCAAAATTACTTTTGACTGTGTATTCTCTAAACTATTTGTTCAGGAAAGGATTTTATTATCAAAGTTAGACATATTTACTATGTAATCACATTTTTTCTGCATTTTGTCTCTTCCATTACATTTTAACTGATAAATCAACACAGTACTCATCTTCAAAGATTTTCCTCTGAAGCATGAGATGGTCTGTAGATAAATCATTGTAAGATTTATATAACTGCAGTGGATTAGAACTTCTTTTTGTGGAAGAGCTCCTTCAGCTGTTGTTCAGTTGTTGCTTCTTTCTGTTGCATCAGCTCCTTGGCTCCTTTGGTCACACCCCAGCCATCTGGCTTTGACATGCCAGGACAATATGGCCTGCCTGAAGCAGGCTTCAGATTCTCCCAGTATTCTTTTCTTGCCCTAAATAAAGAAAAAGAAGCTCAGGGTTTTTTTTCCCAGCACCTAATAATATTGAAGGAAACGTGATTTAAATGACAATTGCAAAGGGTCATCTAACTTGTAAAGGTGGGCATTATATTTGCATATAGAAGTAAGAATGAAAATATTCAATTAAATGCTACATGCTTTGAAAGTATCTTTCCATCTTTGAAAGGAATACTGTAAAAAGCCGCCATTAGGAGCTGATATACAATATTTTGTCAGTTTTTCCTTTTCATTGTCATGAATTACATTCGCAGAAGCTCCTCTACTTCTCCTTCACCCCTTTCCCTGCTCTTAGGTCAGCTTTAATTCTTGGAGAGTATTAAACATAAAACATATAATTCTAAACATAAAACTTTTACAGTAATATTTAGATGCCCAAAGCAGCTAAACCAGTGTGCTCTGTGGAGCAATGTAAGCCTTTGCAAAAGGTGTTTTAGTTTCCAGGTCAGATATACATACCTTGCTCTGACCCAGGGTTTGGTATGCATGCTCAGATTATCACCCCAGCTACCATGTTTCTCAGAAGCTTCTGGCAAAAATCCTCTTTCAGGAGCCAGCTCCTCAGCTATTGCTCGGATATGATAAGGCTCAAACCCACAGCAGCCTCCAATGAAACGAATTCCTAAGTCATAGGCCTTTCTTGCATATTTTTGAATATCCCATCTGGTGGCAATTCTTGGCTCCAAACCTGCAAAGACATTAATATCTTAAGTTTCCACCATGGTCCATTCAATTTTTATCCTTCTTTTTTTTCTTTTTTTTTGGTAAGAAATCACGTTGCTGAAACACTTGCACTCTGTTTGCAAAAGTGGTTGTAGGTGCAGATGTATGTGTTTGAACTGTCTGACCTAGAATCAGTGATTGAAACTTTCAGAAGGCTGACTTTCAGATTCTGCAGTGCTCTGCTGACCTGTGCTTTTAAGCATTTTTGGCCTTGCAAAACAGCACACAGTATCTTCTGAGACTGATCATGTTTCACATTCTGCAGAGTTCTTAGTTGAAGAATTGGAATAATTTCAATGTTACAGCTACATTTCCTAATAAACAATCAATACCTGGGAAAACTGATTACCACACACTAATCTGTGAAAGGAGAAGGTATCAGCCTACTGGCACAGGAATAATCCTGCTCATTATTCCTCACAAATGCTTATTACACTTTTTTCCACAATCAGATACTGGCAGCCAGTTGGGATCTTAGCTGTTTCTTAGCCCAACCCTTAGTTATAATCCCAGTCATGAGCAGCTTACTGCCTCAAAACACCTCGTTCCTTGTGGAAAGTTCTGTATGTAGGTAAGTTAGAACGCCATCTTTATTTTGAACCTTTCTTTCTCATGCAAGTTTTGTTAAGCGTTGTGATGGAATAACAAGAGCCAAGGGAGCAGACTTGGGGAAGGAAAGGAATAATAAGTGAAAAGAGCAAGGAAAAATGCACCTCAAGGAACTGGAGGCGCAAGAGTGGCATAAATGGAAAGAAAAGAATGGGGACTGAAAAAGACACTTTAAGAAATAAAAATACAGAACTAAAACCCCAAAAGTTCTTCCACTTCATAGTGCATATGCACATCTACAGGTTGTGAACCAGCATGGTTATCAGTTAAGTGCAGCATCATGCCTGTGCACTGAACACTGCTGGGCAAAGAAGCTGTGGTTGAGGTAGTAAGGCTCCAGCAACACAAAGGAGAGGTAGGATTGTCCTGCCCCAAAAATGCCTAACATGCAACAAGTTGATACAAAGCAGTTATACCCCAAGTCCATTTTGTAGTTAGAGCTCAAGTTTACAAATGAAAAAGCAGAAGGAAGACAATTAAAGATTCTTATACAGAAAATTACAGCTCTCAGGGGGAAAGATGGGACAAAGGAAAAGCAGGTGGACTAATATTGCATGGAAAACTTTGATTAAGCATTTTAGAAAGCTGTTCAAATAAAAACAAGCTTTTGTACAGTGCTGAAGATATGACAGAAAGCATCATAAGCACAAATGAATTATTTCCTTTTCTTTCATATATTATTTAAAAACTAATGCAAAATTTATACAAATTATCAACAGTAAGAATGCATCATTGTGCACTCAGTTTACACCTGTACAGGCAACTAGGTGTCAGGGGAATAGTATAGGTTGTTCCCCTGTCATCTCCATCACCCCATCACAGTCCATGTGACCTGATAAGATGCATTCGTCTGATGGCAGATGAAGTGGCTAAGCTACTGTCCATCATATTTGAAAACTTGTGACAGTCCAGTGAAGTTCCTGGTGACTGGGGAAGGGGAAACATAACCCACACTTTTAAAAAGGCAAAAAATGAAAAGCCAGAGAAAGAGAGACCAGTCAGTCTTACAATGCCCAGAAAAATCTCA